TAAACATAAACAATCCTACACGAGAAGAATGATACCATATGGTAAATCATGATATGAGTATTTGAACCATCACAAAAGAGATTATATTTCATTTTTTGTTTCAAAATATCATTTTTTCTTCGATGTATTGCTTTACTTTTAATCAATATTTATTGTTGTCTTTTTTTCTCTCTGTATATATATATATATATATATATATATATATATATATATATATATATATATATATATATATATATATATGTATATATATATATATATATATATATATATATATATAGGCTATATATATATATATAATATATATATATAAATATATATATATATATAAATATATATATATATATATATATATATATATTTAAATATATATATATTTATATATATATATATATATATATATATATATATATATATATATATATATATATATATATATATATATATATATATATATATATATATATATATATATATATATATATATATATATATATATATATATATATATATGGTAGCCGGAAAGAACCGCAACGGAAAAAAGCGCAACGGAAAAAAGCGCAAAACAAAAAGCGCAACGGAAAAAAGCGCACACGGAAAAATGCGCAAAGAGAAAAAAGCGCACACGGAAAAAAGCGCAAAGAGAAAAAAGCGCACACGGAAAAAAGCGCAAACTGAAAAAAGCGCAAAGAGAAAAAAGCGCACACGGAAAAAAGCGCAACGGAAAAAAGCTTTTTTCTCTTTGCGCTTTTTTCCGTTTGCGCTTTTTTCTGTGTGCGCTTTTTTCTCTTTGCGCTTTTTTCCGTGTGCGCTTTTTTCTCTTTGCGCTTTTTTCCGTGTGCGCTTTTTTCTCTTTGCGCTTTTTTTCCGTGTGCGCTTTTTTCCGTTGCGCTTGTTGTTTTGCGCTTTTTTCCGTTGCGCTTTTTTCCGTTGCCGTTCTTTCTGGGAACTATATATATATATATATATATATATATATATATATATATATATATATATATATATATATATATATATATATATATATATATATATATATATATATATATATGTGTGTGTGTGTGTGTGTGTGTGTGTGTGTGTGCATGTGATTGTGTGTCTTTAATCAAAATAAAATATTAGCTGAGCCGATAATAGGCCTACTGTCTTGTTTTTGCGATGCATTATTAATCATTTAAACATTTTGTTTTTAAATACAAATTAAAATAATTTTTAAAATATTTTTTTTCGATATGTATTATCTTGAAAATTAATATGTAGTTTTTATTCTACCTACCTCATGTGTTATAAATTATAGCCAGTGTCTTCAACGTTTATTGATTTTATTTCGATGTTTCTCTGCCTTCTAGGTTTTTCTTTGTTTTAAAAATTCTTAAATAGGTTAGTGTAGCATAACATAATATTTATAGAATTATAATGGATACTCAATGATTTTCAACAGCTTGTTGTATTAATGACTGGTCTTTGTCTACATTCTCTATAGCTTTATATATATATATATATATATATATATATATATATATATATATATATATATATATATATATATATATATATATATATATATATTTTTTTTTTTTTTTATTTATATTTATATTTATATATATATATATAAAGCTATATATATATATAAAGCTATATATACATATATATATATATATATATATATATATATATATATATATATATATATAAATATATATGCACATAAATTGTATATAAATATACATATACATATACATCAGACCTAGCATTGCTTAGACTATACTTACCTTATATACTAATATATTTTTTTTATTTTTATTTTAATCACCTAACTGAATAAATACTTGTCGGTACGAAGCCGTTGATTGGGTGGAGGGGAGGGATACATGACCCAAGTCTGTAGGTATTCAGTCAAATCACAGTTCACCGTTCTCCTGACATTTTTGGGTGAAATAAAGATAGGTCCGGATATTTTGTGTCCGTGAGATCATTTGTCGTGAGATCAATTGTACTGAGATCAATTGTCCTAATATCATTTGTCCGTGAGATATTTTGTCTGGGATATTTTGGCTGAGATAACTTTCAATTGCTTTCAATAGGGCGTCGCCTAAGATTTTAAACTTCAATATTGTTCATGATGACTTTAAAAATTAAAAACTACATTTATATACCTTTAATTAGATACCATTTTTATTTATCAAATTTAATTGGTATCTAGAATATTATTTGTAAAAAATGCGCTTGTTTTTAAATGGCTACGACGATAAGACCGATTTTCAGTGATACGGCGGGTTAGTTTTTTAAGGAGTGTTTTTGTTACGCGATCGATCGTGAATAGCTTACTTTTTTATGTTCTGCTCGATATTCTCAGCGATTAGACAAAAAAAAATGTACAAATGGCAAGTTAGTACAAAACACTAATGGTCCATTGTTAGAAATAGACTGGTATATTTGAATTATACGCAAAAGTAACGATTTTAAATATATATATATATATATATATATATATATATATATATATATATATATATATTTATATTTATATATATATTTCTGAAATGAAAATGAAACATTGTTTAACAAACGAAATCAGGTTATCGTCGTTTTTGGCAGCCATCATTACCATGACAACGGTAAAAAATGTGGGTCAAGCGACAACTTACTTTAAACTGTGCTCAGATAATACTAACGATTATTATCAATATTCAGTTGAACATTCACCTAGATGTTGCATGTTTTCTTTATCATTAGCAGGTGTCACCCCCCCCTACACCCGTGTTGGGATTCGTCCACTTTGTTCTTAAAAGACTATTTAATTCACTCTAATTTTAATCAATTAATTAAGTGAAATTATCATTTTTCTGTGTATATTTAGTTTTTTTTTTTGCCTTGGTGTCACCCCCCTAAATTGTATCACCCGGTGTGGTCCCCACCCCCGCACAACCACCCCTAGCTACACCTCTTGCTATAACGCTCAACAGCAAACACGAATATCTTGCGTTCAAATCCATAAAATATCCCTCAATCTACCCAGCTTTGATGGGTAGGCCTACCTTACTCAAGTTAGGAAAATTAAAGACGGCTCTACTTAATGCTGACCACACTATCCCTTCAAATGCCGATGTCACTGAAACAGGTGAACGCTACTTCACCTGCCTCTTAGACCGCATGGTTCGATTTGGTACTTTTTTTGAAAAAAAGGTATAATGTATAAATGTATAAATGATACAGAGAGTTACTTTTACTTGACGTATTTTCTTTGACCTAGAGGCTATCACCCATCGCATTGATTCGCATAAATCCTTGAAAAGACAAAGAAGTTTTGTAACAGCTTTTGTTTTTCAAAAAATATACCACCATCTTAAAGCTATTAAATGTAAATCTATATTTGGGCATAACCTTTTTTTACTGAACGGCCTGGTTGAAATGTTTTGTGTACATTCGATCTTCACCTTGCTTTAAAATATCACAACGAATACATTGAAACACTTGCTGTGTGTTCAATAATATACACACACACACACGCACGCACACGCACACACACACACACATATATATATATATATATATATATATATATATATATATATATATATATATATATATATATATATATATATATATATATATATTCATATATATATTCATATATATATATATATATATATATATATATATATATATATATATATATATATATATATATATATATATATATATATATATATATATATATATATATATATATATATATATATATATATAGTGTGACACTATTATGTTTCTCGCCGAGTGACACCCGATCTCGCTACTCCACTGTTTATAACACCCGTATTTCTCTATTAGTTTGCAATGCATTAATTGTAGTTAAAATCTAATATGTATTGCATCAAACATTCGTTGATTATCACATCAAAATTTTTTTTGTATTTTGGTTTTTGAAAATGTCTGTGTATGTGTGTAAGTGTTAGTCTGTATTTCATGCATTACTATACTTTTTATCCGATCGCCATGAACGTTTGGAAAGAGGTTGAGAAAAAAAATCTGGAGAGGTTTCTGCAATAATACTTTTTTTTTTCGGATGCATGGCAGTGTAGATATCAGTCATACGCCATACAAAAAGAAAACATTTAGGTTCTGTAACTAGAGATACATTCTTTGACTATAGAAAGCAACTATAATTGTTAACTCTTTGTTTATAGATTCACCTCCGTATCAACTATCTGGTATACGTATTTTTTATGCAACATCTGGTTGTGTAAATATCGATTTTAGAGTGTGGCCTAATTGCTTTGATTTTAAAAATAATTTGTTTTTAGATCTAGCTGCAACAATTACTTTGAATGGGAATCAATTTGTAAGTCTTTGAAATATTTTAAACGTTAAAGAAATCAAAAGGTTTTGGTTTTTATAGTTATGGATTTTGATAAGCTTCTTTGTCTACATTGAAAGTATAAAATGAAAAGCAATCACTGTTAGGTTATTCTGCTGTTTCAAACTGCGCTAAAGTTCTATACTCGTAAGTTTACTTTTTTTTAGTAATGCTACTAGTCGAATATTTGTAAACATATATATATATATATATATATATATATATATATATATATATATATATATATATATATATATACATATATATATATATATATATATATATATTTATATATATATATATATATATATATATATATATATATATATATATATATATATATATATATATATATATATATATATATGTGTGTGTGTGTCTATATGCGCAATTATATAAACAATAAATATTTGTAAATGTGTGAATTATTTTTTCTTCTATTGATAAAATTCAGACATGCAATATTATTTTAATGTCTTAATATTTTCAAACTATAATAGTTTATAAATACATTTTACTTCTTCAATTAATACAATATAATTGCAAATACTAATGTTATATAATTTTTCGTTCAGGTTTTACATCTATTCTTAGTATTTTTGTTTTTGTTTTTAGAAAACTCGAGAGGCAAATTTCTACAATAATGTCGGCATGCACAGAGATAATACTTGCAGCCCTGTTGCTCGCAAGCTTAACTCATGCTCATGGTGAGTCAAATTCAACAAATAATAAAAATTTCTTAAACTTTAAATTATGTAGATGATTGGCTATTATCGACATTAAGTAATAGCAACATGTATATATGTATATATGTATATATATATATATATATATATATATATATATATATATATATATATATATATATATATATTCAACAAATAATAAAATAATAAAATTCAACAAATAATAAAAATTTCTTAAACTTTAAATTATGTAGATGATTGGCTATTATCGACATTAAGTAATAGCAACATGTATATATGTATATGTATATATATATATATATATATATATATATATATATATATATATATATATATATATATATATATATATATATATATATATATAAATTACTTATTTACCTACTAAATCCTAATCATTCCCTGTTGAGTATAGGGCAGCAACAAATCTCCGCCATTCCACTCTGTCTTGGGCGAGCCACTTCAATTGATGCCAAGTCTTGCCTGTAGCATGCACTTCTTCCATCTCTCTCCTCTATGTTCTCAGTGGTCTTCCTCTCTTTCGCTTTCCAGGCGGATTTCACTTCAGCGCCATGTTGGGGAGTTATATATATATATATATATATATATATATATATACGTATTTGTATGTATGAATTTATTTTAATCATATCTCTTTTTACTGAAATCTTAATTAGTTAAACAATTCCTACGTCAGATAAAAACCATGTATACGAATACACAATTGTCGAGAGAGTTTTTATAAAAAATAACATGTTTACAGGTTCCCGTTCAAGTCATCGCTCACGCCCTGGACGCGTACGTACTTGTAGTCCCGGCTTCGCCGTCAGCACACGTCCTCCATTCCCGTGTGTGGGTTAGTATGTTGTATGCATAAATGTTTAAGGAAGACTGGTTTAAATGTTTAAATATATATACCTTTAGGTAAGTGTGGAAATGTATACGTCAACGTAATTTTGTTGTTTGTATTGTCTAGGTCTAGTCAGGTACACAAACTCATATATAAACACGCAAATACACACACACACAAACATACACACACACACATATATAATATATATATATATATATATATATATATATATATATATATATATATATATATATATATATATATATATATGTATATATATATGTATATATAAATATATGTATATATATATATATATATATATATATATATATATATATATATATATATATATATATATATATATATATATAACTTGAGTACTTTTACAGCTGTGTTGATGAAATTTCATATATAAGTATTATATTTGTTCATAATATAGTTTTGAGAAGAAAGTTGAGATATTCTAGTTGAAAAGAAACGTTATATTACTTACCTGAATTTACAATTATTATTATTTAATGCATGTTAAGTTTTGTATCAAATTGTTGTGTTAAAAAATATTAAAAATACATATCTAGATATACTCTAATCGGAAATAGAACACTTGTCATCGACGCTCTGTTTTCAGACATTAATGAATGCAGTCCTACAACCAACAGCCCATGCCAACAGACCTGCATCAACACACAGGGAAGTTACTCTTGCTCATGTCTCCCTGGCTACACTAAACTTACATCCAACCCAAACAAGTGTGTCGGTGAGTCATATGCATTATAAACTAGCAATATACACAGACATATGCTAATAACTATGTTAGACTTATAACAACTTAATGTATACGAGTGTTCAATTAAGTTTTAAAATTTGTATGTTAAAAAAAAACACAAAGAACATCAATATCGTAGTATCAAATGTTTCAAAAGTGGCATTTAAAAAAATATTAAGGTTTGTTATATAATGTTTACACATTTTTAAAACAAAAAGTATTGAATATGAAATTGTGTGGCTATTAAATAAATATGAAATATATGTGTAGAATGAATACATTTAAATAAAAATATATACATACATATGTGATATATATATATATATAATTATATATATATATATATATATATATATATATATATATATATATATATATATATATATATATATATATATATATATATATACATATACATATATATATATATATACATATCATAATTTCAAAATAAATGGCATTAAAATTGGTGTTTCTATACAATTATGAGCTTGAGGTACATCAAACGTACAGTCGGATTTTCTTTTTTAATAATCTGGTATAATAATGACTTTAAAACACTACATATTTAAAACTCAATATTCAAATTTTGTAAACGTCTATTACAATATACAGAACTATGTCTAAAGAAAAGCAACCCGACCGATTAGTAACACAAATAGTAAATCAAACTTAATATCTATTTCAACGGACATCATCGAGTTGTTGAGAATCCTTTCATCACATTGTTTACATGGATAGAATTGTAAAAACTCTAGCCTGAAAAATAATTCACAATTAAATCTTTTTAGAATCAGTGTTATAAAACTTGCAAATGAAAGAGTAGGCCTACCTGAAACTAATAGTTTGAGTTTAAGTCTACATTTCTTTTATTGTCATTAAGTTTAAGTTATAACCCGATGTTTCACTTACGTAAGACAAACATTGATTGGCTGTATAGGAACATCGATAATTATTTGTATACAAAAGTATTTAAGTTTTTTTTTTAAACCACATGACAAAGTTCTTCGATTTTTGTTTAGAATTTGTATAATAAAATGTATTTTAACCTGTCGAATAGCTGGATGTCATCACTTAATTCGCCATTACCATGTGAAAATCAATCTGATTTTGCTTTTTTAAGGCCGAAAAAAAACCGAACAGTGAAAATTTTATAACTATATTGATTTTTCATTACACCGGGCATGATTTATAAAACATTAAATGAGCCTCCGGAATAATTTTGAGGCTATTCTCCGTTGGGTTTATTGATGACGTGGATTAAAATATAACCTAATTCTGGTTCCACAAAAAAATTATATAAATACGTAATAGAGAAACATAGATCTATACTACTTACAGCACAGTGAACAGACAGTGTTTGAATAATGTTGGAGAGCTAGTCCCCCAAATGTTTGACATTTATTTGAGCTTTCTTTCTTTTTTCGAATGTGTCATATTTAAAATGTTCTAGTTTGAACTTACTGGAATATGTAAAGAAAAAAAAAACGAAAACAAACATCAGTACTGCATGTTTCAAACTAATTATAAAGTAAAACGAAATTATTTTTAATCATTACACACTGTTTACATTAAGGTCATCTGACTGACACTGTGGATACTGTATGTAGACAATTTTTAGAAATTTATAAAAAAAATTCTTCTATTTTTAGCCGACTGTTGTTCCAGAACCGCCAACGCCTCGTCTGTCTTGTTCGAGACACCCAGTCCTTCCAACGGCCGGCGGTACTACCTGTCTAAACGTTCAGTTAACGTCGACATCGTAAAATCTCAGGCCGTGTGTGAGCTGATGGGTGGCTACCTGCTCGAGATCGATGACCAAACTGAATATACTTTTATCAAGAATTTCATCCAAGGGTTCAGTGGGTTCGATATTGTTTACACCGGGGCTAAGGACGAGGATCAGGACCGTGTCTGGGTGTTCAAATACAGTGGAAAAACGGTGACCTACATCGATTGGCAATCAGGTCAGCCTACAAATGACGCCGCCTGTATGACCCTCCTGTTCCGATTTGGCGAATGGAAGATGGACGATTATAACTGTAATGACAACAGCGCGAATACCAGGTTCATCTGTGAAGTCCCCGACAGACCCGTGTAACAAGCAGCATTTGCATTGTTACTAAAAAATAAATCTGCAATTTTAATAATTACAATTTTTAAAATTGTACGTTTATTTTAAAAAAAAAATATTTTATTTTGAATTTTAGTAACATAATTAAAAAGATACAAAAATACATTAACGTAAATTAAGTTATCTCAAATTTTTAAAAATTATTTCTTATTTCCTATACTGAAAGACAGTTACAATTTTTATAATATAAAAGCATATGCAGATTAATTTGCTATCCTATGTTTATAGTATTTCCATTAGAGATACCAATAAAGTGTAGTATAACTTGCACATGTTTTCATTTAAGTTTATTTTACTAAGTTATAATTATTATCTGTGCTCAATAAAACTTAAATGTTAATTGAGCTCTCAGTGATAGATTGGATAATGGATGAGACGAATGCAGTTACGAGGCACAATTTAACACATATTTAATTTAAAATAATTTTAGAGAGCTACGTGTATTTTTAAATGTTTAGACAGTTTCCACAATCAAACCCGATGACCTTCAAATAGAACAATTTTCCCATCAACACAACCGACGTGAATGGCTTTTAACAGTATTTATTCGTGAAACCACCTAATTTCTCTCAGACACATAGTTCAGATCTAAAAGAACAATCTACCAATCTATTCTGAAACGAAACAGTCCAATGTTCTATCAGGGTTCTCATGTAATATGTCAACAATCATTTTAATGTAAAGTTGACAAAAATTCTATTTTTTAGCAGGTTGAGATATTCCTGAATTAATACATGTCTACTTTTAAAGCTTATCATCACCATCATCATTCCTTTGTTGCCCCTGTGGAGCAAAGGGCTGCAACTGCAACTCGGTTTTGGGCTGCTCCCTTAATCTGTGCCCATGTGAGCCCAGCTGTTTTCGCTTCTTCCTCAACCGTTCTTTTCCATGTTTTCTTTGGCCGGTCCACTTTCGTTTTTTACCTGGGGATTCCAGTCCATAGCATGTTTTGATATATTTTATTTTTTCTCTTCTTAACGTGTGTCCGATCCATCCCCATTCACAGGGCCTTGATATCTTTCTCTATTGGCTTTAAAATTTGCCACAGGTCTTTGTTTGATATTTTGTCTGGCCATCTTATTTTAAGTATATGTCGTAAGCATTTAAAGCAGATAATTATCTTCAAGTAATACAAATATACCGTTCTATACGTAACCCAGGTCCATTCCAAAATATATCGATGTACACACGTGTAACATCTATAACAATTACAACTCTCCATCGGACTCGGTTTCTGGCTGCTCACCCTTTATCTGTGCTCAAGTGAGTATTGCGGCCTTTGCCTCTTCTTCTAGCATAGGGCTGGTAAGTAGGTCACCAACCAGCTATAGTATAGTAGTTTCCCTTTCAAACCTGACGGTCTATGGGGCAAGTAAAGTAGAGTTCACTTGTTTCTGTGACCTCGGCATATGAAGAGATAGATGCCCAGCCGCCTTTACTTTCCCTAACATGAGTTAGGTACTCATCAGAGTTGGGTGGACTCAGGGACGGTCTACTGACTTGAACCCGGATTCGAACTCGAGACTTAGCAGTCCAGCTCTCTACCGCTAGACCACTCCGTCCCACACCAACCAGCTCTACGGCTCAATAAAACCTGCATGGGCCATAGAACTGGTTGGTGACCTACTTACTAGCCCTATTCTTCCACCCTCTTCTGCAAGCGCCTAGCTGCTGTTAGCTCCATTTCCTACTAAGGACGTTCGTGTTAAATCCTGACCACGAGACAGTGGCAAACAAACAATAGCAGAGTTGAAATCATGACAGTGCGTCAGTTTTACATCCAGCAGTCGACCTAAATGTCAATTGGGATCATTCGATGTCATGGCGGTGATTACAAATTTACGTTTTTGAGCGAAGTTATCGAAACAATATATTGTAATCAACCGAAAAAAACAAACAAAAAAACCTAGTAACTAGACCTAGTGTATTAGATATTTTTTAATTGAAAACATATTTCTACATTTACAGACAGTAAATAAGGAAAACTGACAAATGGAGTGACTGGAATTGTTTTATTAAAAAGTAAACAATCTGGATTTATTACCTACAAGTAAACAATTTAACCGTAACAATATAAGAAAATCATTTAGAAAACAGGACAGCTTTAAAGCTGTGGATTTTTAGACACAGTACAACACCAGGAGTGTAAAGTCTTCCTTGCATAATTTGTTTATCGTTTGGGTAATGAAAAAGTGTGTAGAGCGTTAATTATACAAGCCGATGTACAGTGGTACAGCGCTACTTATTGTAGCCTAGGTACAGTTGTACAGACACGTTTGTTGCAACTATTAGGGCAGCATCTCTGGTTCCTGTTGCAGTCAGAATCTCTGCGACACGTGAGCACAAATCTGCGACACGCGCGAGACATGGGGTCAAGGATGTTGGCAGGCTTTGGGCAGCTGGCTAGCACGGGGGTGTCAGGGACACACTGGGCTACAGGGGTCGTGCTACATTTAGCAGAGCTGAAGGGGTCGCATGTTGGAACCCGGACGACGCATTTGTATCCTTTAATGCAGTTCTTGTTGCAAACAGGTGTTGGTTTGGGGGTGGTTTTTCTCACGCATTGGTAAGTTGGGCAGGGGGTGGTGATGCATCGGATTCCTGTGTCGACACACTCTTCACCAGCAGCACAGCCGCCACACTGATCTACAACCTGGGGGAGAAACAAGGCACGTTCGACATTTGAGAAAACATGGTATAGTGAGTGGGTGATAGCCGGGTGCTGGTGTGTATTTATTTTCTCGGATCGAATGTTTGTATACGAGGCTTGTAGAGAAGAGTTAGACAGGAGAATAAAAGCCGTTCGTTACCGGGCTGTTGATAGGTTGCTATTGTAGCCGGCTGTTAGTCGGTAGTAAGACGGCAGTTAGACAGTAGTTAGAGTCGGCGTGGTAGAGTGGGTAAAGCTTCATTAGTCGATACGTCTCGAATTTGAACCCTAGTGCAGATGAGCTAGTTAGCTGGGGACAGCAACTCTTCTAAGAGAGACAACCCCAAAATCAAAAAACTGCTGCCTTGTAGTTTGTTCTTCGTTGGACAAAGGCTATAGATTCAAATCCATAAAGAAAAGCAGGGTAAAATTGAAGTCAACGGCTTAAATGGCGCATAACCAGTTGACACGTATACTTATTTTGTTGGAGGGAATCTCTTCCATTACAGAACATTAAAAACAAAGAAGAGGAAGACGGTAATTAGACGGTTGTAATCGGGTCGTCAATAACTGGTGGACAGTATGGCAAGTCGACATCAACATTCAGGTTTTTACCTTTTTAGGTCGGCACTGGTAGGTGGGGCAAGGTGTGGTGAAACATCTGATTCCAGTGTCCACACATTCTTGACCGTCTGGACAGCCACCACACTCATCCTTAGGCTAGTCAAACAGTACAGTACAGATATTACATACAACATCGAACACAACAACATACAAGAAATTATACATCGGCTACGTAAATACATTTTTTAAGAACTAGCGTAGGCCGTTGGCCATATGAAGAGAAAGTTAACTAAAATTTAAATACATATTTTCTTTTATTACAGTACTGACTAAGAGACTGTTTTATATTACTATAGTCAATGCCAAACATATTTAATTAAATTGAAACATGATATATTTATCCTCTAAAACTTTTATAATTAAAACTGGCCGTCATGAATACGTACAGGTACACAGGTGGGAACCACTATCTGTATACAAGCAAATCCAGGTTTACATGGGGGTGATTTAAATTCACAGGTGTAGCCTGTATTAGAAATAAAAACACAGTTGCAAGACTATATATAGTGTACATTATCAAGTCTATCGGTATGTTGGGCATATGTGGTACTTTGACATCAGATTTTTAGCTACCAACTTGGGCCAGGTACCCATTAGAGCTGAGCTATGCATACGTGATCTCACATTGGTTCAGGTACCCATTACAGTTGTGTCATACTTTGGTCAGGTACTCATTAAAGCAGAGGCGTAGCGATAGGGGGGGGGGGGCAGTGGGGACATATGTCCCCGGGCGCTAACCTTAGTGGGAGCCAAAATGGGTTGGAAAAAGTAATCGATTGTGTGAGGGGGGGTGCAAATCGAAAGTTTGTCCACGGGCGCCGTAAGGGTCGCTACGCCTCTGCATTAAAGCTTCATGTGCTTATAGGGGCGCAGATAGTTGCGTTACCACTGTACCATGCAGCTCATAATAACATACTAAACATGGAATATCTAGTAGGCTATATAAAAATAAAATGCATTCATTATTTCAAATTATGGAAGACAAAAATGTGATAATCTTGAAGCTTCATAATAACGATTTTTCTATTTTAAAAAGTTGCATTTAAAATTTAAAAAACTTACCTTTAGGACAGCCTCCCGGACACACGGCGCCATTGCTGGGTGTACCAGGTGTACACAGCTTACCACCACATGCACTAGCACAGCAGATCTGACCAGATGGACATTCACTGTCAGCTGAGCAGAACTGACCACCACACACACCAAAAGACCCTGGCTCAATCACCTGCAAGATTTGAAATGACATCACAACACCATTTGTCACGTCGAATCTAATAGGGCTTGTAAGTCTCGTTCTCTCTCAATTAAAATTCGAAATCGTGTTAGCCAGGGAGATATAAACATTTCTGTACTAAATTAACTGTTTTGAACATGATTCCCATTGATAAGAAAAAAGGTGGAGGCTATTTGTTTCTAGGCCTCGTTTCATGATTTTAAAACATCAAGCATTGCCACATTGCAACGATTATAAACATGTTACTAATAAAATGATTAAATAATCATATTTCGTTTGAAAATAATAACTGGCAAGTACAAAAACAAGAGTTTGGTGACCTCCTTATAAGCCCTATTAAAAGAAAATTTGAGATTTGTGTGTTTCTTCCATACTTTTTTTTGTCAGGGGGGGGGGGGGGAAAGGGTGAGGCACTTGATATTTTATGGGGCGGGGGCGGACTAAATGATCCCGGGGTGGGGGCGGACACTGTTTTCTATATACATTCCATTTTGTTCGGGGGCGTGTAGGCGGTAGACTTTCTTCGTAGGGGGGGGGGGTCTCCAGATATGCCTGGATACAATACGCTAGATACAATACTTTTACATGTGACATCTAAGAGAACATGATTCAAGTGGACTTACTGGACATCCGCCAGTAGAAGTGGATGTTTTGGTTTGACATTTGGTGCCAGTGTACCCGGATGGACACACGCAGTAAGGGGCGTCGGCTGGGGCGGTGCAGTGCCCTCCGTTGGTGCAGTTGAAGTTGTAGCAAGGATCACGGTTGTCTGTAATGATAAATCAAGTTTACTGTGTGTTTCAACTTGACTAGGGCCTTTAATGCAGGTAAAATTGTAATAGGGATCAAAGTATGACAGTAATGTTAAATTAAGTTGACGATGTTAAATCTCAACCCAACCGTTAGTGCAGTAAAATTGTAGCTGAGATCTCAATTGTCTGTAACATTATATTAAGTTCACCGTGCGATTTAACTTAACCAAACCATAATTTGCAACTTCTAAAAATTAACGATACAAATTCTACACTGTGACTTTTGGTAATGCACTCAGGGTTATTTTTAGATCTGACTTCAATATGAAGTGACAGCTTTTAATTATATGTTACGTGTAGTTTTTTCTCAAAGTTTTCTAACAATGAGTTTAAAATGCATAAAATGTTGGCCGCGATTGTAAAATTAAAATGCCGCGTGTGATTATGGAATTGCCGTTTGCCGTCGCGTTAATTAAACCTATAAAAATAGTATACAAATAGTATACAGCAGTAAACTAAAGTGATAACTTTTGCTGAATATATAATGACAAAAGTAAGTTTATGATTGATCCTGGTTATTTAAATCTTGTATTTCTATTTTGTATATAATCTTACGAAAAAGTTTCATGAAAAGGCGACATGAAACATAAAACTTAGCATGGATATAGATTGTATAGTTTGTACATTCACATTGAGAGCTAGCGACCAAAGTGCAACATTAAGCTAGCTTATTTAAAACAGCTCTAGCATTCACAAAAGTTACCACTACGGACTGAAGCATTACTGACAATATATACCAACTGGGCTCTACAAACTAAAGCATAACTTTAATCTAGTATAAATTTGTTCTTACATTAACCTTAGGTAGGCTACTATTAAATAAAGCATTACTTCAACCTATAAGAACACAGTTGTTACATTCACTAAAGCGTCACATTAAGCTAGATTGTAATAGCTCTTACATTCACAATCAACTCTACAGATTAAAGCATAACTTTAACCTAGAAAAAAAATTAATAAAAAACGTTTTAATAACAAGCTTTTATGTAATAATGCACTAAAAAGTAGAAAATAAATTATAGACTACTATTTAAATAACTATAAAGAAAAGCGTGGGTGTCTTCCTTAACATTAGTAAAGGTATCCAATAGATACTAAAGTGACCCACGCTTTTCTTTATAGTTATTTAAATAGTAGTCTATAATTTATTTTCTACTTTTTAGTGCATTATTACATACAAGCTTGTTATTAAAACGTTTTTTATAAAAAAAAATTTCAGTACTTTACATGTTTTATTTACAATAGAGTTACATGACTAAAAACCATTGCGCGCCTACTGAATGTGATGGCGCAGCCATTGAACGTGATGACGCAGCTATTGAACGTGATGACGCGTGTGGTGTGGTGGGATAGACATGCCTACTAATTCGGTCTAAATTTTAATTAATTCATAAAAAATTAATTAGGCATCCGATTAAGTCAAATTTAATTTCAGATTGCATTGTCTTCATGTCTTGACCCACGTGCCAAGTGTGAATCGTATCGGTCAAGTAGAAGTTTCCGAATTTTCACTCCGGCGTTTCGGTCTAGACAGACTGACGACTAGCGAGGAAGTGAGTTAAATAAAAGCTTGTAAAAACACAGTTCTTACATTCACATTTGCTACCAAAGAAGCCGGGCTTGCAGATACAGCTTGGGGCATCAGCCGGAGCCGTACAGGAGCCGCCGTTGAGGCACGTGAAGCTCTGGCAGGGGTCTCTGCTCACTGGGGGGTCAAATAGTCGTTATAATATTGTTATAATATTGTTATAATGCACGTTAATATAAAATGCTACATTTAATTAAGCATAAAAAAATACTAGAACAATGGTCTTGAAAGGGTTGCTCTAGCTTAGCCGGTTAAGACAAGAATATCTGAAAGGGTTGCTCTAGCTTAGCCGGTTAAGACAAGAATATCTGAAAGGGCTGCTCTAGCTTAGCCGGTTAAGACAAGAATATCTGAAAGGGCTGCTCTAGCTTAGCCGGTTAAGACAAGAATATCTGAAAGGGCTGCTCTAGCTTAGCCGGTTAAGACAAGAATATCTGAAAGGGCTGCTCTAGCTTAGTCGGTTAAGACAAGAATATCTGAAAGGGCTGCTCTAGCTTAGCCGGTTAAGACAAGAATATCTGAAAGGGCTGCTCTAGCTTAGCCGGTTAAGACAAGAATATCTGAAAGGGCTGCTCTAGCTTAGCCGGTTAAGACAAGAATATCTGAAAGGGCTGCTCTAGCTTAGTCGGTTAAGACAAGAATATCTGAAAGGGCTGCTCTAGCTTAGCCGGTTAAGACAAGAATATCTGAAAGGGCTGCTCTAGCTTAGCCGGTTAAGACTAGAACACCTCGGGTATTTATAGAGAAATTCTTGACGTGCTTAAATGAACCGTGGACACCTAATTAGCGTTCACCCATTAGCAAATATTTTAATGAGACGTTTATTAGTCTACATTTGACAAGTGTGTTAGTACATGTATTAAGAGTATTTACTAAAGTGTGTTAACACACGTGTAGTTAAAAGTTATGCTAGGTGTGTTAACACACGTGTTGTTAAAAGTTATGCTAGGTGTGTTAACACACGTCTAGTTAAAAGTTATGCTAGGTGTGTTAACACACGTCTAGTTAAAAGTTATGCTAGGTGTGTTAACACACGTCTAGTTAAAAGTTATGCTAGGTGTGTTAACACAAGTGTTATTTAAACTTGTCCAATATGTGTTATTATAGTTGCCTAAGGTGTGTTGACACACGAGGAAAGGTAAATTACGTAATTGTACCGGCCCATGTGTTGTAATTTATATTTACTTATGCGTGACGTGTGTTGATTCAATCTACGTGGGTGAAATAACCGCACATGACCCGTGAACCGCTTAGAGAACTTTAGGGTTTTCATTTCACCTGAATCAGTGGCCTGGGTAAATACAACTTGAGGTATTCAAGTCTAGTACCACCGGTATTCTAGCTAACCCTAGCCAAATATAGCTTTATTTAAATAGCTGTCGGTATTTTTTGAATAGAAATGTCTTCTAGAAGGTTTGTTCGTGGCTATTTGACATAGAATTATTTTTGTTTTTCTACTTATCGATATAGTTTAATAAATTTATAATTTGTTTGGATGGGGTGAGGGTCGTACACAAATAGCTTTGCATGCCCGATAATGTGGGCGAGGGTTTTAGATTCGTGGAGAGAGTATGTATGAACGATTGTTTAGTAGTAAACAAATTTAGACAAAAATAAGGCTATAATGTTGGATTTTTCTTTTATAGAGAAAGTAAAGGTTTAGGAATCTATGTCCGTTTACAAGAATATCATCTCTCATAGAAATGTCCCATGGAGTTTCTGTTTGTGTGGGTACTAACTCTATTGTTTACAACCACAAGCTACTAATAGCAAACTTTAAAGAATGGATAGAATACAATAATTGATTAGTATTATAGTTTTTAACTTAAACTGTTTAGGCCATTTAAAACAATTTATACCAAGTATAATATTTAGAATATTATCATATTTTAGATAGTGATTTTTTAATGTGTCGAAATAGTATGTTTTTTTTTTGTTTAGTTTAATATATTAAGCACTTGTGTATAAATGAACCAAAACAAAGGTTGTATAATACATGAAATCCTTTCAATGATACTCACAAGCTTGAGCCTGTAGGAATATAAAGAAAATACATCAGATTTAATAAACACTTAACTTCAAACTAAACTCAGGTTAAAAGTATAATAAAAAAAAACCTTATTAACTTTTATCCTCTTTTTTCTTTCTTAGCTTTTCTCTTTTTCTCATTAAAAAATGATTGACGTTTAAACGTTCTATTTGTGACAACCGGCCACACAGCACACACCCTTCAACAACATAGACTGACTTAAGTTAAACAACAATTTCTAGTGCAAACTTATTTTAATCTTACCTGAATATACAGCGTAGAAACCTTCAAAGAAGAAAAAAAAACAATGATTTATTTAATAAATAACAATTATCTGCATAGCAATTAATCTCAACAATGAAATTGCAGGTACGGTATAAAAATCCATTACATTTTAACACACAATGTATTACACAATGTATAAATATTGAAACAAAGAATTATCTATGTATGTATGTATATATATATATATATATATATATATATATATATATATATATATATATATATATATATATATATATATATATATATATATATATATATATATATATATAGGTATATGAGCACATTTTCTATAATTACAGCATGCTTTATTTTCATATATCATATATGTTTCTAACTGCATTAGGCCTATATTTCACATATAGTATCTACTTACTGCGATAGCACACATCAACAGAAATGAAGCCATTATGGTGTAGTGAACCTAACGAGACTAACTGCCGAGCCACAAAACCTCGACCTATTTATAGCCGCTACGTCGGTCACATGACGCGGTGCACCTAATCTTCACCTCCGGATATAATTACGCAGTAAGTTAAACTGACACGGATATTACTGACGCACTGAACGTTATATCCGGGAAATTCGCAGTCGAAATGACCCGATCGCCTCGAAGATTAGTTCATATTGTTAGCTTATCTGATGATTTGTACATATTTTGATTCATTGCTGTTTATTACGTCCCTTTATGCATAAATTAACAACGAATTGTTAGTGTCTTTATGTAGGTTTCGCAATAAAAATTAAGCTAAAAACCCTTATAATATTTGTTATCAGCGTATACTATAAACGACAATGTGAAATCGAGCAATAAGTGAATGGGTAGCATGTTTAAACTGCATTTCTATTGTATTAATTGTTTTTTTTTAGACAAAGAGTGATAATTCGAAGATTTTGTAAGATGGAAAAATATATCCCTGCTAACTTTAAGTAAAGTTCTCCTTTCGAACATGAAGGTCCACGGTGCAAGTAGAGTTCGCTTGTTTCTGTGATCTCGGATTATGAAAGGATAAGGTGTTCAGTACTAAGCTCAGCCGCAATTTTCCCTAAAGTGAGTTAGGTACCCATCAGAGCTGAGTGGACTCAGGGACGTGCTACTGACGAACCCGGATTCGAACTCGAAACTTTCGGGTAAACAGTCTACCTGCAGCTATCTATATCTTTCCCCATTTTTATTCATCGTGAAAATTAATAGATGTGTGTTAATTTTTTTTTTAATTGAGTTAAAAATACTCAATTACCTGTACCTAATTACAATAGACTGTATCCGGCTTTGACAGATGTCACCTATCGATGACATCACACATTCGTATTGACGTGATTTGCTACCTGGATTTGAGCTGTTTCCGCCCATCTGATTAGAAAGGTGAAGCGGTAAATAAAACTGTTGACGCGACCTGACGGTACAGGTGTTCGGGTCAGACTCGTCACGGTCTAGTTAACATCTGGGAGTTTAACCTTCTGTACGATAGTGTGTCCTACACATATAATCAGCGAGAGTTTAACCTTATGTACGATAGTATGCCCTACACATATAATCAGCGAGAGTTTAACCTTATGTACGATAGTGTGTCCAACACATATAATCAGCGAGAGTTTAACCTTATGTTCGATAGTATGCCCTACACATATAATCAGCGAGAGTTTAACCTTATGTACGATAGTATGCCCTACACATATAATCAGCGAGAGTTTAACCTTATGTACGATAGTATGCCCTACACATGTAATCAGCGAGAGTTTAACCTTATGTACGATAGTGTGTCCAACACATATAATCAGCGAGAGTTTAACCTTATGTACGATAGTGTGTCCTACACATATAATCAGCGAGAGTTAAACCTTAGCTACGATAGTGTGTCCTACACATATAATCAGCGAGAGTTTAACCTTATGTACGATAGTATGCCCTACACATGTAATCAGCGAGAGTTTAACCTTATGTACGATAGTGTGTCCAACACATGTAATCAGCGAGAGTTTAACCTTATGTACGATAGTGTGTCCTACACATATAATCAGCGAGAGTTTAACCTTATGTACGATAGTGTGTCCTACACATATAATCAGCGAGAGTTAAACCTTCAGTACGATAGTGTGTCCTACACATATAATCAGCGAGAGTTTAACCTTATGTACGATAGTGTGTCCTACACATATAATCAGCGAGAGTTAAACCTTCAGTACGATAGTGTGTCCTACACATAATCAGCGAGAGTTAAACCTTATGTACGATAGTGTGTCCTACACATATAATCAGCGAGAGTTAAACCTTCAGTACGATAGTGTGTCCTACACATAATCAGCGGGAGTTTAACCTTTTGTACGATGAGAGTTAAACGTTATGTACGATATTGTGTCCTACACACATAATTAAGTCAAAATATGCAGTATTTGTTTTAAATTATGACTTATGTTTTTTATACTCAATGTATCTCCTTCTTTGTTCTATTCTAGTAAGAAGATTAAATTAAAAAAAACCCGAAGAAACCCAATTCTATCTTTGCTGATTGCCAGTTTACCTAGTCATGCAATAAAACACATTTTACATTTAGATGACACTATCTTAATTTGGACGTATTCGTTATTTTCCTAGTGCTCAATAAATTTGAAAAGCTTCAAAGGCACTTCATGCCATCTGTAATTATGCCTACATGTATGCTCCAGACCTACCATCTCTGTCACCTACATGTTCTAGGTATGTAAACGTTTCTACTTTTTCCAGCGCTCTTCCACCAAACTCAAATGTCACTATGTCGTGTTTATTCTTAGTTACAGCCTTGCTTTAGTCTAGTGAAATGAGTGTAGTTAGACGATTTTCGTTTGCATGTTTCTGTCTTTGTGATTATAATGCTTTTCATCTGTAAAGTATAAATTATGCTCCATACATGAGTAAGAATTATTGGTTTCTAGCAAGAAATAGATACTTGAACGTAATTTTACCCATTTTTCTAACACACCTACACCACTGACCAATGTATTTATTAGCGCATTTTAACCACATCGCCAACTTGTTGCCTATCTTCATTGAAGTCTAATCACCCCACCCACCCCCACCTCCCATCTTATATGTATGAGGTACTTTATTATAAATTAATATAGGAGAGAGAAGAATCGCGTTTGCTGAAAAACACAACTCTACAAGACTTAAACCAGCTCATCTAGCAAACACACAGGTAGCGTGGGTGTGGCCGGTTGCTTGGGGTTTGAATAGAGCCATTCAAGTTGATTCTTCAGTCTATTTAGGTCTTGCCGTTGGTCGCAGTGTACTGTCCATGTTGATCTGACCTACATACCGACATACCAACCAATTAAAAGAAATATCACGCTCCACGATAAAAATAGAATTGTTCAAAACATGAAAACAGGGTACAGGACACGCCCTATCGGGTAATTTGTTGGAAAGAAAAAAAATCTTCTTAGTTGTGGGTTGGGTCCTGTTTTTAAAATAGTGTTATAAACATGTTCTAAAGGTTTTTTTTCTTTAATATAGGCCTAATTGTAAATGTTAATTTTTTGCTAAGAGTTGACTTCAGTTGCGGAAAAGTTTAATGTTTTCGAAAAGTTTCAACAAAAACTTTAAAAATTAACACTTGGACTAATCCTGTGTCATAATAATTTTTTTTTTTAAACCCAAAATTAGCTTCCCTTGTCAGGTACACATTAGAACTGAGTTGGCTCAGGGCGTCCTGTAGACTTTAGCCCAATATGCCCTGTGTAGTAATGACATTTTCAAACAGCCAGTAAGGAACATACACATACACATCACGTATATATTAGTAGAGCGTGTTTATTTTATTATGCAACAAATTCTGTAAATTAACACACATCTAGACTAAAAATTGTATCGAAGATTTTAAATAATTTGTGTTCGGAGAATATTTCTTCTTGTTTTTACCTTGGGAATTTGTTTCGTTAGAACTTAGACTTATAAATTTTAGGCTAACATAAAATGACAGGACTGATACTCAGTGGAGCAAGGATTTCGTAAAGATAAAGATGGCAATATGTTGAGTAAGCCGGCAGTTAGTATTAGCTAACAAGGTATTTCATGGAAACCACAAGGTTCAAGAAAAAAAAGGGAGAGACAAAAAATAACTGGATTAAAACATTTAAACAGACTGGGCAATTTGGAAAAGAGTTGAACAAAAATGGAAAAAAAGATAAAAAGTTGAAAAACATAAAAGTTTGTTGTAAAATGCCATTCTCCACTGAGATAAAAAAGCGCAGAATAAGAAAACCCTGTGGATTTAAATCAGTTGTTTACAATTTGTATATGACTAAAGACGGGGAACTTTGGTACAGGTGAGTTTGTTACACCTGTTGGGACAACATCTCTGGCTCTGTGGGTCACAGTCAGCATCTGTCTGACAGCTGGACACCACTCTACGACAGGCACGTGACCTGGGGTCAAGAATTTGACCTGGCTTGGGGCAGCTAGCCAGCACAGGGACACACTGGGCTACAGGGGTCGTGCTACACACATCGGTGCTCGAGGGGTCGCATGGTGGGACCTGTATAACACACTTGTAGCCTTTAGCGCAGAAAAGGTTGCAGACGGATGATGGTTTGGTGACGCATTTGAAAGATGGGCAGGGGGTGGTGGCGCATCGGATTCCTGTGTCGACACACTCTTGACCATCAGGGCAGCCGCCACATTGGTCTGTAGCCTAAAAGAGAAGCAGATTTATGCTTATACTAATTCTCAGTATAACCATGGCTTTATAGTTTTATTACCTCTATACTTAGTTGATAGATTTTTGCCTAGACAATAGCAAAGTAACGATGTTTTGCAATAGTGAAAATTGTATGAAAATTAATGTTAGTAGTGAAGTACCATTTCAAACCTGACGGTCTATGTGGCAAGTGAAGTAGAGTTCGCTTGTTTCTGTGACCTCGGCATATGAAGGGATAGTGTGGTCAGCACTATGCCCAACCGCCTTTACTTTTCCTAACGTGAGTTAGTGTTAGGTACCCTTCAGCTCTCCGTCCCCTAAATTTAATGGTTATTTCATCCTAAACAATTTTGTAAAATTGAAAAAAAAAATTCAAGAGAGTTGTACTGTACAAAAACTTGCCAGCTGACTCTAAAAGAAAGATCTACGTTTATATGATAAAAATGTATGTTAGTTTTTGAGCCCCGAGACCTCCACAAAATGTTGTCTTTTCAATATGGCCAATATTGCCACGGCAATCTTATTTTCAAAAGATTACCTGTTGCATGCTCATATTTTCCCTCAGAACTCTATCTTAGATACTCACAAACAAAATAAAAAATTGATTTTTTCGGAACCAAATCCTCTTTTCAACAGTTGTAGCTAGTGTTAAATATCAACGAATCGTCATAATTTACATATAATGTTTTGTTTTCTTTGTGTAACCTAGTTAGTAATAATCTTCTGAGGATAGTTCTAGATTGTTTTAATATGTTCGTGCTTGCTCATAACTTCTACAACCATGTCTCACCTTTGGCCGGCACTGGTATGTTGGGCAAGTTGTTTTAGGACATCTGGTTCCTATTTCAACACACGTTTGACCAGCCGGGCACCCTCCACATTTTTCTGGCACCTAGCGAGTTTCAAATTAACACAGGCGTAAGAGGGTTATCTTCTGTGGCATTGTTAATATTTCAATTCGTACATTGTGATCAATTAAAACATGCACGCACATATGTACACTTATGAATCCTTAATAATATTTCAATAGGCACGTAGTATTAAATTACAACTTGCACGCTAGTATTTTCATTAATCGATATACATACATCTTCATTTATGAATCCTTACTAATATTGCAATAGGTACGTAGTTATTAAATTAAAACATTCACGCAAGTATTTTCACAAAACATCGTAAATAAATCTTCACTTATGAAACCTTAATACTTTTTTCCGTTGATAGTTAGTATTGAATTTAAATATGCACGTATTTATACTATAAGAAGCAAAACAATCTTCATTAAATCATGTTTTTTATATTCAATACAGACTTCTCCTTTTAAATTAAGAAGTCTATTTAGTATCACAACGCATAATAAGGTTGACTGACAACTTTTAAAAAATCAAAGCCCTAAATCAATTTGTACTTGTTTTTAGGAGGTTTTTCATTTGTAGAAAATGATCTTGATTCAAACGGTGGTTACGTAATAGTCGTCTTGGGCAATCGTCGTATATATATATATATATATATATATATATATATATATATATATATATATATATATTTAAATTAATACCTTAAACGTACGTGTAAAGCATGGACGGTGTAAATACTTACAGGGACACAGGTAGGGACTGGACTATTGAGACAGATAACTCCAGGTTTACAGGAAACTGGTCTAAACTCACAGGTGTAGCCTGCACAAGAAATATAACAGTACATTATATTATAAAGCTCGGTGACTTCCTAAGAGCTAAAACTTGAAAACAAAGTTCAAATACTTAGCAATCGAATACTATACTTCTCAATCGTACCAATTCTAATTTTCACACCACGGCTCGTTTTTTTTTGTTTATTTTGTTTTTTTGTTTATATATATATATATATATATATATATATATATATATATATATATATATATATATATATATATATATAGGCCTATATATACAAAACAATAAACGTTAACGAACAGTTTTTTTTTTTTTTTTGCAGCAACATAGTACATTAATAATACTTTTACAATTAAGAAAAAACGTGAATGTCTTAGCTTTGGGTAGTAAATGTCTACATTACCGTTATTGCCAGTTATAAAAACTGACCTTCAGGACAACCTCCCGGACACACGGCGCCATTGCCTGGTGTACCAAATGTACACAGCTTACCACCACAGGCGCTAGCACAGCAGATCTGACCAGATGGACATTCACTGTCAACAGAGCAGAACTGTCCACCGCAGACACCAGCAGATCCCGGAATAATATCCTACAATTGTATTACTTTTATCAGAAATGACCTACAATTGTGTTACTTTTATCAGAAATGACCTACAATTGTGTTACTTTTATCAGAAATGACCTACAATTGTTTTACTTTTATCAGAAATGACCTACAATTGTATTACTTTTATCAGAAATGACCTACAATTGTGTTACTTTTATCATAAATCTCCAACAATTGTATTATTCTAAATAGAAAATCTTTTATATATATATATATATATATATATATATATATATATATATATATATATATATATATATATATATATATTTATATATATATACATATATATATATATATATATATATATATATATATATATATATATATATATATATATATATATATATATATATATATATATATATATATGTGTATATATATATATATATATATAAATTAGAATTCATTATACATTTATAATATGTACTTTATTAAAGCTTGAGTCAAAATCGGGTTGCTACACCCCTGGTTAATTCTGACTTACTGGACAAAGACCTACGCTTGAAGTGTTTGTTTTCGTTTGACAATTTATGCCCGAGTACCCATGGGGGCACACACAGTAGGGGGCGTCCGCAGGAGCGGTGCAGTAGCCGCCATTGCAGCAGATGAAGTGTAGGCAGGGGTCCCGGGTAATAACTTCTGTCTCACAGTTCGCGCCCGTGTACCCAGGGGGGCACACGCAGTAGGGGGCGTCCGCAGGGGCGGTGCAGTAGCCGCCATTGTAGCAGATGAAGTGTAGGCATGGGTCACGGGAGATAACTTCTGTCTCACAGTTCGCGCCCGTGTACCCAGGGGGGCACACGCAGTAGGGGGCGTCCGCAGGGGCGGTGCAGTACCCCCCATTGTAGCAGGTCACGTACAGACACGGGTCACGAGTGTTGGTGATTTTGGTCTCACAATGGGCGCCAGTGTAGCAGGGCGGACACACACAGTAGGGTATGTCGAGCGGCGAGGTACAGTAGCCGCCGTTGCAGCAGATGAAGCTTAAGCAAGGATCACGACTGACTTTAAAAAAAAGGATGAGGTGTATGGTATTTTTTAATACAAAAATATGTATAAAACATGAAGATTTAAAACCAAGTTCGTTACAATCGCTACATTATTTATACGAAGATGCATGTGAAAAACATTACTCATAGCTGCACCTGCGGCATACTAACATAATACATTAAGGTCAGCGTGTGTATTGAATTTTATTGTCCCCCTTTATTACGTTTATCATAACGACAGCTGATCTTTAAAGGCTTAAAATCCGTTATTAAGAAAGAGTAAACAAAATATTGATTGGTTTTATAAATAAACCGATGATGTACATTTCAAATAATTTATAAATTTAGTATATATAGTATACCAATACATACGTGACTCGGCCTGCAAAATGATACAAAATAAAGAAAACGTTTAAAATAAAATTGTATTTCATTATTTAGCATTAGTATATATATAACACAGTTTTTTTATTTAAAAAAATGCTTATTCCTTTTCTATACAGTTATTGTAATACTAAGTTTACTTCGTTTATAGACAAAAATAGCTGTTGGAAATTAGAAATACACATCGTATATTTCCATCTGCATCAGTTGACTTTAATTTATCGAAAGTATTTCTTACCTCAAGAACCAGAGTGCAGAGCTAAGAAAAAAAAACATGTACATTGTGTACAGTTAACTGTGTATGTGTAAAAAATGTGCAGGTTGATACACATAAACGTAAGAACAGCTCACTCTAAAACACCTATCACTCTAAAGTCATCTCAAAAATAGAAAAAAATGGCTGCTCATGAAAATTTACTATATGCGTTTGATCTAGTTTAGAACATAAGAGAAACACAAGTCTCTTAATTTTATATACTGATATGTGTATATATATATGTGTATATATATATATATATATATATATATATATATATATATATATATATATATATATATGTATATATGTTTGGTGTCCTTTTGATCTGCTAGATTATGAGTTGGTTCGTGATTTCACATGCAAGATGCTCTATTCATATCCATATTTCTCTATATTTCAAACGCTAATAAGATACATATAATTATGTTTGAAGTATCTACTTACCGAGAATGCACACAGAATAAACTTTGCAGCCATTGCGATTTTCTATACTGCACACAACCAACTGATTGCAAGTCGATAAAGCTCGGTGTGACGTTGCCTCGGTCACGTGACTCACATATCAACCTACGTATTGAATGCATTGAGCATTTACATCGTCTTTGATGTCTAACATGGGGGGGGGGGCTGTGAAACATTATTGTGTGATATCGTCAAGCTTGGTGAGTGGGTGGGGATAGGCACAATAGGTTAATAGTTGGGTTGGGTTATAGAGCAGAGGCGTAGCGACCCTTCCCGGCACCCGGGGACAAACTTTCGATTTGCACCCCCTCAAACTTTCCATTTGCGACCCCCCTCACACATTTGATTTGTTTTTCCAACCCATTTTGGCGCCCCCTAAGGTCGGCGCCCGGGGACATAATATGTTGCCCCTTTTCGCTTCGCCTCTGTTGTAGAGTCACTAAATCTTTGGTGGTCGGGGTAGTCGAGTCGGTAAACCTCACGGTTGCTTAAGTCTCGAGTTCGAACCCTCGGGCAGATGAGGCTAGACAGTTAAGGACAGGAACTCTTCTAGGAGAGGAAGCTCAGAAATAAAAAAAAACTGCAGCCGTATTGTTTGTTCTTGGTTGGAAAAAGGCTATTGAAGCAAATTCTGAAATAAAAGCGGGCTGAAACCGGAGTAAAATGCCTAATTTGACTTTTATAATTAATTGTATTGGAGGGGGATCCTTAACAACACTACGATTAAAAAAAGCAGAAGACATAAGAACCCGATTAAAATAAGTCCCCTATACTCCGAATATGATGAAGTACTTAGGTGTAAAACGATAAAAACTGTCAAAATTTCATGTGATTTTTTTGCACGATTACAATACTTCCTCTATACTATGTATACGAAAAAGTAAAAAGTTTAAATAATTAAAAATTGATTAAAATCATGTCTTAATCCCGAGTTTCCATCCCCCGTAGTGCTATCGATATATATATATATATATATATATATATATATATATAAAATTCTCTTCATGGAGACCATAGAAAACACCAAGCTGTAAGCGCGCCTAGCAGCCCCTCTCTTCCTCTCTAGGCATATCCCTACCACCCCCTTCCCAACTTGGTCTGGTGAGCTGTGGTTCGCGCTAAATGTTTACAATCGTAGAGCCGGATTTAGTGACGGCTATTAGAGGCAGATAATTTAGTTTGAAATGATTTTAAACTTAGGGGAGGTAGCTAGGAGGAGGCTGCTTTCATGGTGGGGGGGGGGGGAGTGTAGAGTAGTGGTTGGGGGAAAGGAGGGTGGGAGGTTCGTCCTTAACGACCTAATGATAGTGTTTTGAAGCAAATATTTTGAGTGGCAGCATTGTTACTGTCGAATTTACAAATTATGAATTACTGAAAAGTAGAAAATAAAACAACTACATAGCGGCATATGATACGCCGCGGGTCGGCTCGTACTAGTTTAAGAATATTGGAGAAAGTTTAAGGGAGATCACTCCCGTTCTATTTCTCGTTGTAGTTGTGGATTGTTGGAGGTGTGGTGGTGGTAGTGCTAAGGATTGGGGATAAAAAAATAGTTTCAGCGATGTGTGAGGTTTTATTGGATTCACACATATATTTTATTTCTGGTTGTGGTGGTGGATTGGTGGAGGAGGTTGTGGATTTGTGGATATTAAAATCAGTGAATGTGTTTAATGTCTTAAGAAGTTAGTGCTGGTGTTAGTATTGATCACAGCCAGTCTTGTATGCTTGTGAGGTTACATTGGATTCACTAGATTAGTTTTGTTGTTTGTGTAGGCGGATAAGACTAGCCTGGTAAATTTTGGGTTATTAAATTCGTGGATGGTGGTGGTGGTGGTGGTGATGGTGGTGGTAAATACGACGACTAGCTCTGTATATTTGTTAGGTTATACTGAATTCACAGAATATATTAAATATTAAGTTCACTGTGCAGGATAACCCGTGACACCATATATCATAATAAACACTTTGCTCGTGTCCTTCTGTGTTAGGTATTCTATCTTAACTATATTAGCTATTATATATATATATATATATATATATATATATATATATATATATATATATATATATATATATATATATATATGTGTGTGTGTGTGTGTGTGTGTGTATGTGCGTGTGCACTCTTTCCAAATGATTCATACTGCGCTCCACACTACCATGAACATTTGTCTTTAAAGAAACAGTTATAACATCTTCATGTAGATGTAATGAAGAAGTAATTATCCACTTAAAAACGCTAACTAGAAACTCCAAGTGAAATATTTCAAAACACAAACTACGATCAGCTAACTATAAACCAATAAACTAGAAAATTACATTTATGTACTTAACTCCCTTTACGTGTGTAAGTTCTTATGTTTTATTAGGTAGTGTATTAAATAGTAGACTAGATACCAATCCATTCCTAAATTGTTATGGTTCCTTTATGTCTGCTACATGGAAGCAAAAGATATCAAGAGTTTCTCAAGATATAGAAACATAATTATTGCTTTTTTATTCTTTAGTGTAGTTTTAAATTTACTTTAAACGTTTCCCTTTTGTTCTCAATGCTATCAAGACCGTGTTATCTTGTGAACATATCTAAAATGTTAGTTTTCACCATCAATAGTTCTGTTTCTGTAGTGAAACCTGACCTAAGTTATCGGCTAAGTCACGGTCTTCGAACTACCAAATGTAAATAACCTCTTTCTGTCCTGATGATGAACTAGTGTCAAAACGTCTATCGTGAATGTAAAAAAAAAAATATTTCTAGGCTACTCACTCCCTGTTTTATTATTTATTCTCTATGTGTTCTAAGTTAGATCATAGTATGCTAAATGTTATTTCAGACCTTTGCATTGTTTTTCTAATTGTGATCATGTAATTTGTATTATATGTGTTAACACTTTGAGTCTTAAAAATAAAAATTGTTAGGATCTTTTGTCAAAAACTATAAGGATCTTTTGTCATAAAATTAGTAGGATCTTTTGTCACAATAATGTTAATGTAATAAAATTGTAAACATCGTTTGACAAAAAGTAAAAGATGGGGTTATGACAAAAGAACGAGTTACTGTAATTTAAAAAAAACAACAACAGGTTAGTGGGTCTAGGATGGCTGTGTAAAAGGAGTAGAGTCTTGTATCCTAGTCAAATACCCAGCAGTGGTGTACAGTGTATCCTCGACCCGAAAACTTAAACACATCTTTGAGACAGGGGAAGATGACACAACGTGTATTGTTGCTGTACCAAGACTCCCGTTTGTGAGAGCTGACAATGGATTGTAAACAACTGTCATTGAGTCGCCTTTAATGATGGCTTTTAACAGGAAGGTTCTAATCACATGCCCAGGGTTAGGTTAGTAATTAAGTAGGTGACAGCTACATGTGTTGCATCAATCTTCTCCTTACGTTGTAAAATATTGACCTAACCTTTTTATTATAATCGTACACAAATATATATATATATATATATATATATATATATATATATATATATATATATATATATATATATATATATATATATGTATATATGTGTGTGTGTATGTGTGTGTGTGTATTGATTTTTGGACCACTAGAAATAAAGACTTTAGTGATTTAAACAATTTTTCAGAACATTTAAAATCGTGAATAAAGATTGGATTTTAAGATTTTTTTTGTTTGAAAAGAATAAACAAAATGAGTATGTATTACATTACATTATTACAAATTTATTAGAGTAAACGAAAACATTGATAATCTATATATATAATTCTCCTCTTCGAGCCGTTAGAAAACAAGCTGCAAGCGCGCCTTACAGTCCCCTCTCTTCCTCTCTATCGCTACCCCCCCCCCCCCCCCCACCCCCTCACATGGCCTGGTGAGCGGTGTTCACTCTGTTTACATTTTATAATCATAGAGACGGGTTTGGTGACGTCTATTAGGGGCAGATAATTTAGTTTGAAACGATTTTAAACTTAGAGGAGGTAACTAAGAGGAGGCTGCTTTCACGTGGGGGGGGGGGGGGAGAGGGGGGTTTAGTGTTTTTAAGCAAATTATTTCAGTGGCGGCATTGGTACTGTCGAATTCACAAATTATAAATTACTGAAAAGTAGAAAAAAAAAAACTAAATAGCGGCGTATGATACGCAGCGGGTCGGCTCGTACATTTATAAAGCAGTAATTTCGAGTGAAGAAATAATCGTTGTCTTCATCGTTTTTTAAGTTTTAGGAACATTTTTTGGTACTTTCTACATTTACGTGCATACATTCTTTTTTTCACCTGCGTATACTAAAGTCTGGGCACTTCTTAAAAGTAAGGTTACAATTGTATTCGTTTAGAATCTGGGTACTTGTGTACAGTTGAATACTTCTGTACACAAAACGAGTTTGGCATTCGTGTACCAAACTATTTATTGAAGTTTGGGTACAGTGGTACAGGTGAGTTTGTTACACCTGTTGGGACAACACCTCTGGCTCTGTGGGTCACAGTCAGCATCTGTCTGACAGCTGGACACCACTCTACGACAGGCACGTGAGCTGGGGTCAAGGATTTGACCTGGCTTGGGGCAGCTATCCAGCACAGGGACACACTGGGCTACAGGGGTCGTGCTACACACCGCCGTGCTGGATCGGTCGCATTTTGGGACCCGAACTACACATGTGTAGCCTTTAACGCAGAACAGGTTGCAGACGGCTTGTGGTTTCTGCGTGGTTTTTGTGACACATTTGAAAGATTGGCAGGGGTTGGTGATGCATCGGGTTTTAGTGTCGACACACTCTTGGTCAGGTAGACATCCACTGCAGGGGTCTTTAGGCTGTAGAGAGAGAAGTTAAAGAACCGTTGGTGAAAGTGTACAGGAAAATTGATGAACATGTCAAGAACATGTCAATTAATTAGAGTCAAGGAGTCGGCGTGGTCGAGTTGGTAAAACTCATGGTTGCTAAACCGAAAAGTCTCGAGTTCGAATCCTGGGGCAAGATGAGGCTGTGGACAGCCACTCTTCTATGAGAGACAACTCATAAATCAAACAAATTCCGCCTTGTAGTTTGTTCTTGGTTGGACAAATGATATAGAAGCAAATCCAAATCGGAGTCAATGGACTCAATGGCGAAGAACCAGTTGACACGTATACTTAATTGTGCTGGAGAGGATCCCTTCCAACATTAAAATTAAAAACGAAAGATAAGAAAATTTAGAGTCAGATTATTAGATTATAGTTATTTCACAACGTCAAGGGGTTCAGTGTTAGTTTCTCTTTTGTTCTACTAGTATGACAGACATTCAGAATATTAGGTAAAAACATTATAGGCAATGGTATGCCAAAATACTCCATACCATCGTTTTCTTGATGCAAGACAATCCAACACTTAATAAACTACCCATATCTCCTTGTGAACACTTTCCTCTAAATCTTCAATTTCGGAAATAAAACAAATTGTAATAAAAAATAAAACATGAATACTTACAGGAACACAAGTAGGAACCATTATCTCTAAACAAGCAGATCCAGGTTTACACGGGGGTGATTTAAACTCACAGCTGTAACCTGTATAATCAAAATAGATACAATTTACTTCCAAATAGATACATAGCCAAGTGCGTCGTTTTAAAGCAACGTCCATTTTATATTCACCAAGATACAATGAAAAATACATCGGTAGAATTTTTTTTATTTTATTGTAATAATAAAAGAAGCAGTTAAAGTAGTGTTCATCTGTTTACTTATCCTCGTATTTGGAGAGGTGTCGTTTAACGGAATTGTAATGTTAGCATACTATGGAGCCCGCCTTTGGTTTTGCAGACTTGGGTTTTTAGTACCAGTAAAAGTTGTTGCCTAAAGATAGTTTGGGTTCTAACTCGAGATTTCGGGGTTAAATATATATCGAGTTCTCTACCTTTTCTCCGAAACATTAGGTTATATCCATCGAGTTCTCTACATTTTGCTCACTAATCATTAGGCTATACTAAGTCTTTAAAATTAGAATTCTGTTTCTTTCAGTTAAAACAAATGTAAAAAATATATTAATAAAATAAAGTAAAGCACGGTTCTAAGTGACTAATGCTATAAACAGTAAACAAGAAAAAGTAAAAATTCATCTTTAGACCTAGTGATCCATTGGGTGGATAAAGTAGAGATCATACATTTCTTGATCTCGTCAAATGAAAAGGTTGTGTGGTCAGTACCATGCACAGCCAACTTTCCCCAACACAAGCCAGATACCCTTCAGAGTTGAGTCGACTCAGGGACGTCTTACAGTTACAAGTATGAACCGAGATCCGAGCTCGAGACGTTTGGCATAGCAGCCAAACGCTCTACTCTTCGACTTGACCATCACGACGAATGCTACACGCCAATAAAAAATTGGGTGAAGTCTTACCCTTAGGGCAACCATTAGGACACACAGCGCCATTTGTTGTGGGTACTTGTGTCTCACATTTGGTGCCAGTGTACCCGGATGGACACACGCAGTAAGGGGCGTCGGCTGGAGCGGTGCAGTACCCTCCGTTGGTGCAGTTAAAGTTGTAGCAGGGATCACGGTTGTCTGAGAATGCAATTATAAAATAAATGTTTAGTGTTTTTACAGCACTCGTAGATTTACTATAAGAGTTAAATCTCATGAATTATTAAGGTATTAATAAAGGGGAGTGTAGGTTACGTGGGGGTGGGGGGTGGGGGGAGGAATTAAAAAATATTTACAAATTTACACTAAGCGTTTGTGTCTTCTTGGCATAAAATATCTGGTGTATTGCCAATACAATTATATTTCAGTTGTGAAATTCAAGAGATAATTTATACTCATTGCATAGCATTTCTCCTGCGTCTCTAACCCTGGTATACTGTTGTAAGTGAGTTCTAGGTTGTTACTGCTGATCGTGTTCTAGATTATATAAAGCTGCGATATGAATCATTTCACAATACTGAACGCTTTGGGCAAACATTTGTTTGCCTTATATTTTCTTGATTGGGAACTTTCCAACAATCGACATAGAACTATAAAACTAGAATATCTTAGCCCTTAGATTAACCTCGGGGATAACAGAAGAATGCTTCACATAATCATATAATAACACAGTTCTTGCACAACAGCGTCACATTAAGCTAGATTATAATAGCTCTTGTATTCACAATGGGCACTACGGACTAGATCATAACGCTCAAATACAATACCAAAACTCGTACACACACAAAGGGTACTACAGATTTAAACATAACTTTAACCTAGAATATCACAGTTATAAGAATAAGTTCACCCTTGAAAAACACAGTTCTTACATTCACATTTACTACCAAAGAAGCCGGGCTTGCAGATACAGCTTGGAGCATCAGCCGGAGCCGTACAGGAGCCGCCGTTGAGGCACGTGAAGTTCTGGCAGGGATCTAAGACTGAAACAGTAGTAAGGTAGTTGTACAAGTCAGTGTGTACTATAGACGTACACCAGTTGTACAAGTTGTATAGTATACGTGTAATTTACAGTTATATGGTATTTGTACTAGTCATTGCGTCACTATCTTATGATAGTAGTACAAGTCAAGGTGTACACCATACTCGTAGGTTAGTTGTTGAACCGTAAGTGTACTTTACAGTAATAGGATATTTGTACAAGTCACTGTATAGTCACAGTCTTAGTATACTTGTACAAGTCAAGTTATACCCCATAGTCGTACGTTAGTTGTATTAGTGTACGTGTACTACAATTCAAACTATACAACACACATGATAAATACATGTACACAAATCGAACATGCCTGGTACATAGTGCATTCAATTAACAATTTAATTAATAATGTAAACGTGTGTCGTAAATTTACACCTTATTATATTTAAAGGGTAAAAATCTGGATTTACTTTCGTACACGTTTAAATATTTATGACACTAACTAGTTTTAAAATATATTTATATTTGTTTAATTACAAAAGTGGGTTGTAATAGTTCGATCTATACTCACATTCTGTATCATACTATAAACTTAAGTAAAAATAACAAATGCTAAAGTAAACAAATACTAAAATGCATACATACTTGCTTGAGTCTGTTATGAATAAAATCGTAAAAGGTTAAGTTATTTTTTTTAAAGTTACAAATTTAATTGTATAAATAAAGTAGTAAATATTTATAAAATATAGCGTTAGTATGGTTAAGATATTTTTATCATTGAAATAAATTGGTCAAACGTGAACTTTTTTATAAAATCGATGTTTTTAACTTCACAGACAATAGGTTTTAAAAGATTATAAATATTTTATTCTTACCTTAAATAGTAAAGCACACACCTAAAATATAAAGAATATTGCCATGATTGAATCATATGAATATATATATATATATATATATATATATATATATATATATATATATATATATATATACAGTGGGAGACAGAGAGAGAGAGAGAGAGAGAGAGAGAGAGAGAGAGAGAGGATGAGAGCGTTCTTTCAAGTTTCTCCCGCGATCACTTTACACCCCCCCCCCTTCTCTCCGAAACATTTCCACCACTACTCCTGGATAAAATAAAAATATTCAAGATGTAGATTTTATTTTTTACTACTGTCCGCCCCATTCTCTTTCTGGAGGTTTCAAGTTTCCCCCCCCCCCCCCCGCCCTTTTTCCCCCTTTTCTTTTGGAGCAGAATGTCTAAAAAAACATAAAGTAGAAACAGAGACTTGAAAAGTCAGTTTTTCTTTAGTATAACTCTTAAGTGTGCATGTTAAACTATGATAAATTACTACTAGGTATTGTACTCACAGTGGCTGCATATAGAAAGAAAACTGAGGCCATTTTTATCCGTATTTAAGCAAGTAAGCAAACTGAGAGCAAGACGACGCGCCTTGCACTATTTATAGCTGTTCTCGCTGTCAAATGACGCACTGCACTATTCTAGTACACCCGGCTAAACGTAAAGGCTGTACTGTTAACATCGACCTAATACTTTACCGATCAGCGAGTGCTCCAACCACTACAGCTAAACATTTCGTAAACAGGAATGTTGGACAACAAGTAGTTAATAACGCCCTTTTAATCTAAAATAATGTTACGCCTTACGATAGTAAATACAAATATATGTTAGTAAATAACAAGCTTAACATAGAAGCTAGGTGGTTTAAACGATATAACGTTGGTTGTGTTACATACAAAGCATTGTTTAAAAATAGAATAAACGAGCCTACCCTCATCGTAGTATAGTTATTTTATTTTCTACTTTTCAGTAATTCATAATTTGTTGATTCGACACTACCAATGCAGCGAATGAAAATATTTTTCTTTAAAACACTATCAGTAGCTCGTGAAGGGCAACTATCCTCACCCTCCCTCTCCTTTCAACTACACTCCTCCCTCCGATAACCGTGAAAGATGCCGTCTGTGACGACAGTTTACAGACGACAATGAAGATATCAAGAAGCGCTTGTTACCTCCCCTTAGTTTCAAATCGTTTAAAAACTAATTTATCTGTGCCTAATAGCCGTCACGAACTCGACCCGGCTCTACGATTGTAAACATTCAGTGTGAACCACAGCTCACCGGACTGGTGGGGGTGGGGGTGATAGCGAAAAGATCTGTTGTGCATGCCTGGGGAGCGAGGGAGGGGGCGGGAGGAGGGTAAGAGATTCAGTGAGCCTACGTGGTGGCGATAGTGTTCCGCATGGTTGGGCGAAGTAGAGAAATATATATAAATATAATCTAGATGAGTGATAGAAATAGAGAGAGAGACAGACAGACAGACGGAGAGAGAGAAAGAGAGATCAAAGTTTGTTATTAGTGTGATTAATATCAACAGTAATACTTCAACAGCTCAGATTCCAGTTCTTTTAACGTGACTATTATTTCTAAAGTGTTTAATGTTTCTGTTTACTGTCACTGACTTAATATCTACGACGCTCTAAATCTGGTTAGAGTACATCTGGTTGATCCAGGTTTAATAGATTTTTTACCAGTCGACGACATCGATATGTTGTATTCACCTAACCCCACCCCCTTCCCCCATTTTACTCCACCATGAACTAGCGTCGTTCAGCTTATCTGATCAGGTTGTGTCCTATTGAAATCAAACTTCTCACGTAAACAAGACATGTTTAATGGAGGGTGATACTCTACACGGTCTGATTCACAAAGTACTTTATAATTATGTAAACATGATTGCGATCACCTGATGTCATTGAACTCATTCTGTGAATGTTTGTTAATGCTATTAATATATTAAATGGAAGAACGCTTATAACCACACACACACACACACACATACATATATATATATATATATATATATATATATATATATATGTATATATATATATATATATATATATATATATATATATATATATATATATATATATATATATATATATATATATATATATGTGTGTATTTGTATGTATGTATGCATGTATTATGATTACACATTTAACGTTTTTTCCCTTCCTTGCGTTAGAAGAGTGTAGTTAAAAAAAAATCTATAGTTGCAATCTTAATAAAAAATTATGCTTACAATGCAAAATAGCCCAACCTGCATACAACCCACCCAAAAAACAAATCAACATATTTGCTAACGACGGAGTACAACATAAGGCCTAGGCTAATGAGTGTATCGACATGCTAATCCTCATCTTAATCCAGACATCAAACGTTGGACTGAGGGCGCAATTTGTAATTATTGTTTTCACAAAGAACCAGCTGTATACGTGCGGGTGAAGTGAGTCACCTAAGTTAAATCACACGGTGTTATAGCGCAGGGGTCTCCAAACTACAGCCCGCGGGCCAAATGCGGCCCGCCCGTCTCTCTTAACTGGCCCTGGAAACATACTTTCTTGAAGCCCCCACCCCCCCACCCTTCGAACGAAATTTATATAGAAAATATATACTTTTAACAGTGTCCGCACCCCCCTCCATCTCGGAAATGTTAGAACGTCCCCCCCCCCACTCCGAAAATGTAATGAGTCTCCCCCCCCCCCCCCTCACCACACGGAGAAAAAAGTCTGGAAGAAACACTGCCTGGAGATATTTTAGTCTTCGGAAAAAACGGAAATTTAAGTGTATCCTGCCAAAATCAGCTGCCACTTATGTGGACGTGATGTGTTCAAATATAAAAATCAACGTTACATTATTGCATTATACAACATCAAAAAGCAAAAACCCTTACCGATCAACACAATTTCACAACGCGAGATATGCATGAACTCAATACGCTCCAGGGGTCTCTAAACTTTTCAGCCCGTGGGCAGCATTAACTATCAGAAAGCAGTTCGGGGGCCGATAACCGACTCGAGGTCCAAATAAAATAGAAAAAACTTGGATTTTGTTTTTAATTACTTAAAAATATTATTTCATAATTTATTATTTATAATGTTGATTTTTATTTTTAAACTATTTATTGTATTGGTGTTTCTCATAATAAAAATATACCTTGAAAACAATGTATAAGCTTTGAGATGTGAAATTCACTCCGTTTTATAAAAACGGGTATTGGTTCAATGGTTGTTCACGCAGAGTGATTCCTCTTTTTATTTATTGAAAAGTAGCTTGACTTAATCCTTCTAACTATTTGTGGGACCATAAACCACATTTTTTCGGGTTTTCGGCTGTTGATTTTGCTACCTCGCCAGGCATCCATGCTTCAGATCTTCATGGAGACTCGGCCTCCGTGTCTGTCTTGGGTACGCTCTCTTTCGTCATACCTGGATATTTCCCTTACGCGTCTAAATATGACATTTTAGTACCAACCGTGGTTACAGAAGATGCAGAAAAAAAAACCCGTGTTGTAGCTTTGGACGGCGTGGCATAGTCGTAGAGCGCAGGACTGCTAACCCGGAAATGCCCGAGTTCGAATCCGGGTTCAAGTCAGTAGAATGCCCGCTGAGGACCTAATAGGTTCTGAAATCGATGCAATCAAGTGCATTTTTTTATCTTTTTGATTTTTTACATGTTTGTTTAATGTATATATATATATATATATATATATATATATATATATATATATATATATATATATATATATATATATATATATATATATATACATATATATATATATATATATATATATATATACACACACACACACACATATATATATATATATATATATATATATATATATATATATATATATATATATATATAAACGTTTACCAATGTATTGGAATTAAATCCCATCTCCTCCCACCCCTCTCCCTCCGCATACGCCTCTGCTTACATGGAACTACACAACAATTTATATTGCATACATATTGGCAGTATTAACAATTACTTTTACCTACACGTTGGGCTGATTACAAAATTCTAATTAGAGTTGCGTCATACAAAATGGCTACAACCAAGAAAACTTTATCAACTAAAAAGGCATTCTAATCAATATTTAAAACTTAATTAAAGTGCACTTGTATGCTGCATCTTGTTAATGTTTTCTTCAAGTGATGCTTAACTTTACTTTCTTATTGTTCAAGACCAACACTTATGTGAAGTAATTTTTGCCAAGGCGACTATCATTATGCTATTGCAATTAATGTGAAAATTATTTTCTTTTCTTCCCACTGCAAACGCCATTTTATAATCTATTTCCGTTGCTGTTTAATATTAATTATTGTGCTAAATGTAGTATTAATTGAAGCAGACCGTTGTTTAGGGAAATGTGTTCCTATTTTTCCTAGCCCGAACTGTTGAAATGTGTCAATTATTTTAATGATTATGTATAATCTCTACTAAACGAATTTTTTAATAATCTCTACTTATCATCTATAAATTCTACTAAAGTTATTATTTATAATCTCTAGTAGGAAAGTGTTTTAAAATTCGATTTATCAGGAGCAAGTCACTAACTTATTTATAATCTCTACTGAACTGCCAAGCTTTATAACAGGTCATTGTCAATTGTGTACACTCGGTACACAGGTAAAATATAAAGAAAAGAAAGTGTTTAAATAATGTTTGCAGACAAACAACCAACACCTTTTACAAACGCAAAGTAGTTGTAAACAGATAGAAACTTGTTTTGATATTCCATTTATTCGAAGCAAAGTCACAAACTAAAGAAATGTAAACATTATTTATTTGCTAAGAAATCGTCTTTATTTATTAAATGGTGTACTATTGGTTAATATTCAAAAAAGTAATTATTCGGTATATTTTTTATAGTTCATTAGATTTTACTCGATTACAGTTTTATCTAGATAGTTTGTAGACCTATTAACATGACGTATTTCAGTATAATCCGAGATTGTCGGATTAGGAAAAATAAGAGTTTAATCCCTTGTTACACGTGTACAGGTGCGGTGGTTGCACACGTTGGTGCAGCATCTGGTCTGGTGTGCCGCACAGTCGTTGTCTGTCGCACAATTTGACGACCTCCAAGAACAGACCGGTGAGTCTGCCGCCAGGAACGTGTCTACCCACGGACAGGTGGGCAACTCCTTAAACTCAGGGACGCACCTGACAATCATCGAGGTGTGACACTTGGAAGCGTTGAGCGGGGTGCATTTGGCGTGTCGTCTGGTGCAGACATGGCCCTGTCGGCAGGGGATGTTGCATTCTGCTGTACGCTTGGCCCTAGGGTTAGGGTCAGTTCTAGGAGAATGATCGGTGGGGCAGGGCATCGCTGTCTGGGAGAAGGGCGTACCTGTAGGGCGACAGCCACACTATTCTACAGTAGTATATTAGGTCCCTTTTGGAGCGAATTCTTGGCGGAGCAGGTGGTGGGCTGGTACAATGGTTATATAGTAAAATACTCGGAGCAGGATGCGCAGCCTGCCGCAGCCTGGTACAATGAGATATAGTAAAATACTCCA